TTTGAACCAAAAAAGATATGCACAAATTTTCATTTTCAATTTTTTTGCGATTAGTATAGCTTACTCTACGGGAAGTTAGTTAACAAAAATTATTATTTTAACTCCTTTTAACAACTACGTTTGCTGTTTAGTTATTGTTATATAATCAAAAGACTAAATTATCTTTAGTTATTTGAAATTGGGAACATATTCATGACACACATACGCACACAAACACACGCATATATATATAAATATAAATATATATTATTTTTTATATTAATGCTAATTGTCTATGCTTTAACACAAGCAATAAATAAATTAGAGTTAACAAAATGTACGTTACCTGAAAATATGGTGAAAGAAACTCGCTTTTGTTATTAACTTTTCGTTTGATAAGTTTTAGTAATCGCAAATAAATCGAAAATGAAAATTTTTATATATTTTTACGTTTCAAAGGTTTCTGAATATTTTGGCATATCTTAGAAAAAACTCGATGTACCTGTATGTTCGTGTGTGTGTGTTCGGATACAAATTTTTGTCTTCGATTTTGAGAATACAGATTAACCGATTTGAATAATTTGAATAGAAGAGGTACTAGTGGTGCATGGCATCGTGCTTTAAGGCAAATTGCCGCACCGTAATGAATTATTATTCGAGGAATATTAGATGATTTAAAATAGATTATTATAAATACTGTCTATAATACGAATAATATTTTAAATGCAATATATAAGAGCTTATAAATTATTAAGATGACGTCATTCATATATGTTTAAATTGTGAATAAACAAGACTTATCACACGAAGTTAAAATGGAGGAACTATATCATATTTCTAAGAATTGGATAAAGTAAAATGCAAAATTAAAAATGTTTATTTCAAGTATATAAGTGAGCTTTATAATTATAGTTAAAACAGAAATTTAAAACAAATTATTTTTGATCTTTAAACAAAATTTGAAAATGGAAAAAAATTGAAATAAATAAATTCTTTGTCTTTATTTTCTTAAACACTTTTAGATCCTTGTCTCTGAAACAGTTTGGCGTGCTCTTGCCAAAAACAAGTCACAGCCACTTCTCATCATTACGAATTAAATGCTTTTTGAATCATTCAAATAGGATACTTTTTTCTCGCAAAAACTTAATTTTCGTCTTCTGTAATTTTTGCATTGCATTTCGGAAACAGCTGAACCGATCTTTCTCAAAAACTAATAAGCACTAATTTCCATAAGTAGGAATCGAGTGCATTTTTTAATCGGTTGAACCATACTCCCGAAAACGACGACAAAAAAATGTTTCCGTACATACACGCACACACACTTGCACGCACATGATTTTTTTTTGACGTCAGAAACCTTTCAAACGTAAAGATATGCAAAAATATTTTATTTCGATTTTTAGAAGATTACAATAAATTACTCTAGAAATTTAATCAAATTAATTAGAAGTTAATTAGTAGAAATATTAATTAACAGCAAAAAGAAGTATGCTATTTACTTTAAATTGTGAACGTTTGTTTTGTGATTTTGAGTGATTTTTAAAGTGATCCACAGGGGTTCACGTCATTTTTGAGAAAACGTCGACGCAAGGTCCGAAATCGACTCACATACACACACATATACTTTTTCCAAATTCGGTTTCTAATGACTTAAACCGTCGAGAAAACATAAAATTAGCAAATCGGGTTTTTGGCAAAAACATAAACTTCTCCTTCGAAAGTTAAAAAACAACATCGAAGCAATTTGAAATCCATTTTTAATGCAAATTGCATAGTGCATTATATTAGTTTCATCCCATCTATTTATCTCCATATAATGCATCTGTTATGCATCTGTTGTTAAACAGAATTAATAATAATAATGGCGTACTTTACATTAAAGTTCATATTTCATATTCGAAATTGGTCAAAATCAGCAAACACACGGACTAAAACATGTTTATTTGATTACTGATCTATGTTGAACTGCAAATAATATGCAGTATTTGTGCGAATAGGCGTGTGCAATGTTTGATTAGGGAAGGAAATACAAAAGCAATGTGCATAGAAACGCGGTTCTAGTGCGCATATATGAATATGTATATAAGATATTTTAATCATAGTCCTGAGAAATGGGTGGTTACATGTCATGTATTTCGTCAGAAATGTAAGAAACCTAGGAGCTGGTTGTAACAGTTTTTTGTTCTAATTTATATATCTTGAGATCTGATTTGATGAAATAAAGATGGATGATTGCTTTAGGTATTCCTATACTGAAAAATGTAAAAATAATTTCACAACTGTTGTTTCTTACTTAAATGTTTATGTCAGAACCATGTGAAGTATCTCTTTTGCTTTCACAATTTACAACAAATAACATCTATTAAAAATAAACTAGTGTTGCCCCTATTATTTTTCACCAGCGATAAAAACTTAAAAATAAAGAGTGCGCGTAAGTTTCACACGCAATTGAAGTAAAACTTTTTTCATATTGTACGAGATAGCATTTAAGTTAGAAATAAATACATCATATAGCAATTTTGAATAATGTTTATTAACATGGTAACACTCGTAATGTACACATTTATTAGTGTCGACCATTATACACATTTGTATAATTATAAATTATATATTTATAATAGCATTGAAAATATTTATAACATTTGAAAACAATAATGTAATTAAAGTATACTTCAAATACGACATGATCGGTTTGTCATTGTAATTAACATTTACGACTTGTATCTTCATAAGAGAAATTAAGCAACTGCTGATTAATAAATTCTATAATATTCGTTTATACAGTGGATTATGTTAAACAACGCTTGAAGAACTTCATGTAATTAAAATTAACATACATTCATTGACTGCTTTTATTTTTTGTTTACTTTTTCGCTGGCGATATAATCTCATTCTTTGAGCAGCTGCAATATCTGTCTTACCTAAAAAATATTTTCCATTTTAATAACTTCAAAAATTTATAAAAACTACGAATAATATAGAAATTATTTCAATAAACTTATGTTTAGTACACGGCATAAATGTTTCATTTGATTTATTATTTTCATTATAATTATTTACGGGGAACAGGGTAAAATATTCTTTTGATATAGGCATTTTTTATTAAATCAAGATTTGTACTACCATGTAATTTTAAAATGTTTATTTATTTATGCTGATTTCCTTGTCTTGATAAATGTTTATTTATCTTTGCTGATTACATGGTAATACAAATCTTGATTTAATTAAAAATGCCTATATCAGAATAATATTTTACCCTGTTCCCGGTACAACGACAGTTCTCTATTCACGCGACACGACGACTAATCACAATCGACCCGTGTAGAAGTGATCTCATCGAAATCCGTTGCATTCTCACAGACTTACACCCTAGTCGCGCCTAAAGAAGTTTTACTTCAATAATTTGTTAATAGATATTTCACAATTATCTACCTTAATTATAATCATAATTAGCAAACATAAAACATGCAAAGTACAACAAAATTCATAATAATTTAGCTCGTCTGAAATCCTCGAACACACATCAAAGCTACGTACAAACGTACTCGTATTTGTACCTATATTATGTAACTTTTTTGTAACGTTACAAAGTTTAAAACTCGGTCTCGTTACCCAATTCAGTAAAGCGGTTGTGCAAATAGCAATTAGTTCGAAATGACTTACGACGATAATTGAAAAGTTAACTTTTAATGCCACCGCACTCACACAATTTCGCACAGAGCAACGGAAAAGCTGTTTGCGTACATGTACAATAGATACTTGCCCGGAATACTAGATCCGGGTGTAATTACGACAACGCCGCTGCCGGATTAACAGTCTAGTAAATTTCATAAATTTGTAATAATTATCATTGTTAATTGGATAATTAGAAATTCTTAAAAATTGTATTGTAATGAATGATAAAAAGTAGAATATTTAAACCTTTATGCTTCAATTTTTTTTGACATCATATAATTGTGTAATAAAATAATTAATAATATGGACTACAATATAATATGTATATAATATAAAAATAGCAGGCATAAAATAAACTAGTGATTGTGCCAGAAGGGCATTAGATGGAACTAATTTAAATTTAAATTGTTATATTATGTTAGGACTATAACTACAAAATCACTAGCAATTTCGAAAAAAGGAGATGTGGCTGTAACTCTTAATCATTCGCCATATTCACAAATAAGTCATTTAATTAATTAGGCTAGTGTTCCTTGTATTTCGAGTCGCTTCTTTTTCTAAGTATTTATTACAAGTGAAAGATAATTTAACTTTTTTAATATTCTCAATGTCCAAATCTTTGGTATAGCTATCAAATCAAAATACAATGGACTATTCCGAACGGGTTTGAATCACCTCCATCCTCAAACAATATTTTTTTGTAGGATCCATATTCTCATATCGATATGCAATTAAATCATCAAAATATAGAATATCTTTATTTTTCAGCTAGCTAAAGTTTCGTAATAAGATTTACTTACTTTATAGTTGCTTTGAGAATGATGATTTAGTATTTACTTAATTTGATGAATAACTTCTTATGATTTTTTTTTATTTACTCTAGATTTTACATCATTTGGCTACATGCCATTCTTATACGAATAAACACTTCTTAGTAACTACGTCATAATTATTTTATAAATTAGTATTGCTATCCTTAGTAAATATTAGGGTAATAAAAACAATAAATAAAAAAAAATCCCAATGAACTTATGAATGTATTTATATACCTACTCTCATATTATTGCTAAATATTATTGGGTGGAAAAATATGTTCTTTTTGTAAATTTTTATTTAACATCATTTATTCTTTTTCCTTGATCTACATTATGAAATATTTACATTCATATTTTGTTATTTCTTAATATGTGTTTCTGTACATATTGCTTTTGGTATAACCTAAACAATTAAAATCCTCGCATGTTATATTTGTCAGCTACATTTCAAAGCATTTTTGTTGGGCTAAATATTATAAATTATAATTTATTTTTAAATTCATTATTCTATTTCACATTGTATTTTTTCAGAGCCCATATTAAAAGTTCTAGGTACGTATAAACTTTTTTATGCACTGTTTTAGAATAATTTTTTGATCTTGATATTGTTTTTTATAGTATTCTGATATATTAATATTTTGTGTGAATTAATTTAACTCGATATTGGTTGTGTATTTATGCTTCTTATTATTTGATAATCTGCAAATATGATTTTTATTTCTTATTTTAAATAAAATATATACGTATTCAGTATTTGTTGAGAAACGATATTATTGCGACACTTTTTTGAAGGATTTAGTGAAATCTTTTAACTTTTGAGAATATTTATGACAATTTAAAATACATAGTTTTTTTTGCAAAATTTACTTATTCATACTATGTCTACATTTAAAACATGTTAAAAATAATCGTAGAAATTCTTGGAGATCGTAGAAAATATTATATTTTATCCATATTTTCACAAATTTGCCAATAGTTAACTTTGTTACAAAAATAGTTGAACTGAAATGATGAGAAGTGATGAGAATTTTGACATTGCATAAATTTGTTTAATTTATTTCTGAGCAGAAATGTATTATGATAAAAACCTGTAATTACATTATATGAAAATTCTCTATATTTGTATATCTTAAATATTTAACACACCTTATCACTTAAATACTTATCTATAAATGAATGAAAATATCGAGGTATTTTCTTGAATTTTGCATAACCGTGAAGTAAAAAAATGAAATAGTGAAATAAAGTAACATACAAGTAGAAGCATAAAATGTTATTTCATTCAAAATTATATTTTCTGTATAATAAATGTTGTAGTAAACTAGGTTGATAATAATGTGTCTTTTTTATTAAATAACATGTTAATATCTAGCAGTATTTAAACGATATTAATTAAAATTAATTCCGAACGTGCTCGTGAACTTTTAAATTACCATAGCGAATAATAAACCCTCATCTTTCCAAAATCATATAATACTGTATCAGTCTCGCTTTCTCTCGTATATAAAACAAATTAGTTATCTCGTTTCGGCCCTTCATAATCTTAAAGCACTTTTTAATTGGCCCGTCGAGGGTACAGGGGTAGTTGATAACACCACTTAACACTTAAGCGAACTGAATTATTAATACCTATATCATATTATGGAGGAGGAACGCGGACACTTTTTATATGTTTGTGTTATAAAATGATTCGAAGGGAAGTTTATTTGTTTTTTATTGCTTATAATTGGTATACGCTACAATATACATACGTATTTACATAATTCACGTTAAATGATATGTTGAACTAATCATATTTTTTTATAATTTAATTCCACATCAGTATTCTTGGGTTTATATTAATTTTAGTTATCAGTCGTGTTAATATTAATTAATATATTAATCGTGCTCTGGTACCAAAATATTCTAGACTAACTAATGAGTATGCAATACTCAATACATAAGTTTGTAATAATAAAAAAAAAATTGAATACAACCGTTATAGCATTTTTGTACAACAATTTGCAATATATGACAAGCAAATGGCACCTGAGTGTCAGTAAAGGTAGATGAGTTAATATGATCAATATATTTATTAATTAATTTTAAAGAAAATTAATTGAATTTGGAGACCAAATGTTGTCGGTTGATATATTTGAGAGTAATTTTCTATCGGTCAAGTTAATTATATTATCCTATTTTTAAATTAAGCAAGTGAAATTTACTCTAGTGTCAATTGTTTACCATACACTAAAAAAATCTACTTTTCTTGGAAAAAACTTGTTTGTAATTCTGATAATGTTAACAATTCCAGAATAACCACTTATACTATTTCAGTTTTACGAAAATAACCTTTTTAACATTAAATGTCTTTTCTATCTGATTAATCAAATTAACTGATTAGATTACGAGTCAATTTATATTGGTGAAACTAGGCAAACTTGAATAAAACAACCCACAATCACATAAATAAAACTTTCAACATTACAAACAAGTTAAAACTATGCTTACAGAATACATCAATACGTTAAAAAATAATATAGTTTTTTGATTCAACTATACTATATTTAGAGGAAAATTAATACAAAAGACGTAAAACAACCCACAATCACATAAATAAAACTTTCAACATTACAAACAAGTTAAAACTATGCTTACATAATACATCAATACGTTAAAAAATAATATAGTTTTTTGATTCAACTATACTATATTTAGAGGAAAATTAATACAAAAGACGTAGTAATTATTGCCTTTGCTCCTAGGTTTATGAGACTTAACAAACACAATGACCTTAGTACGATACAAACATCTGCTTTTTGGATTGTGTTTTGAAACTTAATAAACAATAAAAAAAATGAGCAGAAAATATTGCAACTAGTTTCACATATAGTCGAATTTTGGTGAACATTTTTTTATTAGTATTTTCTCTTGCTAGTTACAGATCACACATTTTGCAAACTCACATTTTTGTGAAAATTATGTTAGTAAAATTGTGAAGTATTGTTTAAATATAACAGTTTAATGTTTAATATTAAGCATTAAATTCGTTGTAATGATAAGTATAGCATAATATAGTACAGTAACATGGATTATTATTATTTTTCCTTTTTAATATTAGAAAAGGCTGATTTTAAGTGATTTTCTACTGCTTATATAAAATTTTGAAAACTCTATTTTTACATATTTTAGTTTCTAGACTAAACTTTTACTTTTATTTTATCTTGATGAAGGCTCGGACTATAGCCAAAATAGAAATAATTGTTGTTCTATTGATGTTAGGCCCGATAATTAGCCCTTGTCTTTGCATATATCACCAACAAATTTAGAAAGTTTGTGAGTGAGTAAGTGTAAACATGAATTTAATGTAAATAAATATATATATATATATATATATATATATAAGAAATATATAATATATATAAGAAATATGTAAGAAGAATAAGAAATAAGCCTCGGAACACGCACAGTACAGAAGTCGTTGGCAGAAATTACTTAACTTTATTCACATTTTTGTCCAAATAAAAGTATCATTTTTCTGTTTACATCATACAAAAAAATTACAAAAAAATCATGGTGTTGACAAGTTAGTTGTATAAATGTTAGTGCTAATTTCTAGTGTCGTGTACACTTCTCTAGATGTAACCTACCAACGTTAATATCCACTGATGACATTAAATTGAATGTCGAAACGTTTGGAATTAAAGATTAATTTATAAATCTTTGCTTTTTATTCTTTGATGTATCGCCCCACAAGAACTTACTCATATATCTCAACATCAAAATTAACAACTAAATCATATATATATATATATATATATATATATATATATATATTTCAAAGTAACTAGCAGCCCATTCGTCGAAATAAAAAAGGTATAAAGTGTAAATACTTTTATTTATACGTTTCGACACAAGATGCGTGTCATCATTCAGCAACACAGGACAAAAACACTCAACAAAAATTCATTTTAAAAATTAAACTTAATAACATATTAGAGAAAAACATTTTTTTAGAAAAAATTATGAATAACTAAAAGATTTGAAACTAATTTGACTAAAAGTTATAAAATACATAATTGTGAGACGAGAAACACGCCCATACCGAGCATCCAGACTCGACTGATATCTGTGTATATGTATATATACATGTACCTAATATACGTGTAAACGCGCAATCTTTTCGCGCGAGCTAAGCCTGATGTATTCGTGATCATAACTCACCGACTTGAGCATTGAGATAGAAGTAGAAAAAGAGCGCATGCAAAACACCGTTCTCGGTTTCCCGATACGAATGACAGAGACTTCGGTAAAACACCGTGGTGTAGGGAATAAAGAAATCGCGAGCCAGAATCACCAGGGAAAGGGGTCTTAGGTGTGTATATATGTTTGCGAGCTTGTGTTGTAACATAACACTGCGCGATTTGTCAGCCGAAAGAAAAAAATGTACAATGCGGAACCGCGGAAAAGAACGTTGGCATTATCTCAATCGCACCATTGTTGGGGAAGATAGGAGGGTAGGGATGTTTTGCATACGAGCATATGGTTGTTTCATGTGTAAAATTGTGAATTACACATAAATATTGTATTGTTATGTTATCTTTAATAGAAGTTGAGTTATACAATTAAATTAAGGTATTTGAATGCATAACTTACACGTGCTACTATATTCTTCAAATCGATATATAGTAACAATACTTCTGTTACCAAAATTAGATCAACTGAAATTTTATTAAGGTTTTACTCTCAATATCCAGATGCTTAATGTATCTCAGTTATCGATATATATTGCAATAAATAACAGTTACTAGTGCTTTTCAATAACATAAAATGCAGCATGCATATACAATTTGCTTTCTAGCCATTCGATATATAGCAATTTCCAATTTCTGTCACAGCATGTTCTAAACTTTTCGATTTCTTTTCTTTCCTTCAGGTATTTAGCTTCCTCTTAAAGAAATATAAAGGCGCATAAATCACGATGCGAAACCGCGGATGTAACTCAACTAGCTAAATGCTATTACTTGTTGAAGCTTAAGCCCTCCTTTTCTTCAGTGATATATTCATTCTAGCGGCCAAACTTACATTTGTCTCCTAGGAAGAAGCGACAAAAAATATAGCGTTGAAGTGAAATTTACAGAAGAATTATAGACGAGTACCAGCTATTTTTCATACATGTGTGCATTTTATATGCGGTAGTTGTCGTTAGATTTATCATTTTTCTAAGGATTTATTACTTAATTTCGAAGAATTTATATGTACATTACCCCTTGTGTTCGGAAATTGTTTTAGCGAGAAATTTATGCACGGCGCAAATGTACAAGGCGTCTCCACCGTTTTAAGAGAGGTCTGGCAAGTCAATATTTTTAATTTTCTGAATGACAAATTTATGTTTTAAATAGAAAATCCGATTTGCTTATTTCATTTAGATCAAATTAAATAGCTAAAAATTTGACCGCTAATTCTTTAAGACTGGCTAAAACTCAACTCTTATTTATTAAGTCGATTATCTAATTCAGGCATATCGGAAAGTTTCTAAGACAAAATTCTACTCACCTCTAGTTATTACTTTG